AATCATCAGCTCAAGCTCAACATGGCTAAAAGAGAGTACTTAATCTCTCTCTCTCTCTTCTTCCCCCACCCCTCCACCCCCACCAACCTCCTTTGAATATCACCATCATCCTGCCTGTCACTCAGGCATGTAATCTTGGAATCATCTTCAACTCAGACCTATCTTTATGTCCTCACATTCAGGCTATGTCTAAAATATCTTGCTGGTTCTTTCTGCATAACATTTAAGATGTTTTCCTCAACTTAACATTAAATCAGCTTCTAAATTAATTCACCCACTAGGACTCCTCTTTCTTGAAAACTAACAAATTACAATGTTAACTGACTAATATTTCTTGCATTTCCATCCACAAATGATGATTCTATGATCATATATAACAGTTTAAAATATAAAACATTTTAGAAAAAGTAGCCTATTATTCTCTTTTATAGCCCCAAAGCAACATACGAACTAGGGGAAGATAGGCATTCCTCCACCTAATTGCCTGCAGGGCCCAATCCAGTAAGTATGCTCAGGGCTTGCCTATCAGATCAGGCCCCTATAGAGAAGCTTACACAAAATGCAAGGGAGGAGACCCTCCCTCATAATGTTTAGCCCAGTGGTTAGGGCACTCACCTGACGTGGGAGATGCCCAGTTCAAGTTTCCCCTCTACCTGATTGGGAAGAAGGGATTTAAACTGATACCCACTGCTTCTCAGGTAGGTGCTCTAGCCTCTGCGCTATGGGATATTCTAATGTGGGGCTCCCTTAATCTCTCCTATTGAAGCTGTTCCACTCTGGATAATTTTAAAAAAGTCATTGGAGCAGGAGGACTAGATCCTGGGTCTCCCACACGCATGCTATAACCACCAGGCTACAGAGTCATTCTCATACATTTATCCACACCCCCGTTCCACTGGATAAAAATGAAAGAATCATTGGACCGGAGACAAAGCAAGCATCAGAATTGGGACAAATTCTTCCCTGCTGTAAAAAGGAGCAATTCCACTGACTTTAACATTTACTATTAGAGTTATGCTTGTTTACATCTGGCTCACTGAAAGGACAGGATACTGGGGGAAAATGCACAACTTGCATCTCTCCAATTAATTTGTAATCTACATCGCCCACTGCCAGCAAACCAGTTGGCTAATCTTAAAAGTAAATATGAATTTTCTCAGTTTGTAATTATGCTTTCGTGCCTAATCCTATCAACATGTTGCATATTTTCAGGAGTGGGCCCCTTGATGTTAGTTAGCTGACGTGGTTAGATGTGCACCATGACAAAATATACTGAAAAAGAGGTTACCAACATAAACGTTCCCTGAATCTATTGCCTCCATAGAGGCCCACTTTGAGATTACATGCCATGCAACAACAGAAACCATACAAAGCAGTTGGATGCTAGGAGAAATGTTCACATGGCTGGCTGTTCCAACATTCTGGAACTAAGGGTTACAAAAAACCCAACTCCTAATTTTTCCTCTCTAATTCTGGGCACATCCTGTAAATCTCTGAAGTAGAAGGAGAAAGGGAGGACTGGTGTGGCTCTGCAGAGGCAATACATTTGAGAACAAAAGTTATGTGGGTAAATAAGCCATCTTTCTCTTTCATGACACTATCTACTCAGATCCCATCTGCGAGAGATTAGATATTAGTGACACTTCTCAGGAGGTGGGTTGAGGAATAGTGCTAATTGAAGAATGACTAAAATACACCTCTCCCAAATGAAGTATCTCATCTGAACTGGACTCAATACTGAAAATAACATTTTGTTAAGGTATTAATCAAATTTCAGGTTGCATCTTTGCAGATTTCAACAATCAGCACATGACTAAGAAGACACTGGAGAATATTCTACCTCTTTGGTAAGAAGGCATTGGTTCCTGGTTGTACAGGAACTTCAAGGAGTGTTTAGCCTGTCTGAAATATGGCATATGATGCACTTGAATCATCTCTGGACTGAAATGAATTGGGTCTTAGCTTTTCACCAAAAGCTACAAATTACCTTAAAGGGCTTTTTCCTGTCAAGAAAATGACCAGTCTTTTCCTTTTTCATATGGCTGATGTAAATGTAAGTGCAACAACTATAATTTTACATTTACATTATTAAGCCAGATAATTGCGTCTGAAATAGCAAGAGTATTGCTGTGATGCCTCCTTCATATCTGTGAATCAGGCATTGAGTTGTTATATTTTCCATGGTCTGTTCTTGGTGACCACAGTCACACACTGGAGAGTCTTTAATTTTCCATTTCTGCAGCAAGTATCTGCATCTGCCATGGGTTGTGTGGATACGGTTTAGACTTGCCCAGGAGCCCCTCTTAAAAACAAAAGTGTGGAACCAAAATTAAATGGATTATAAGGCTTAGTAAAATCCTGGTTTTAAAAAAACTTGCCTGATTTTAATGAAAGTCCAAGACCGGCATAGTCAAGAATTTGAGATGTGATGTTAGGACTACTATATCATTGTGAATATTTGCACAAGGAGGATTTGCTATCAAAAACTGTGGTTCTGAAACTCTTCTGGTAGGTACTATAGCCACTTGCGAAGGAAACTTCACTGATTGATGCCAGAAGAAACAGGTACTAAGAGGCACAAAAGGAGCTTTCATAAGCCCTATGAGAACCAAGTGTTTAGCCATATTAATATGTAAGTTATAATATGAAAATAAATTGTCATAGAATCTTTAAAATAACCATTTTCTAAAGGATAGAGACTGAACTCATTTGCACAAACAAAGGGAAGACCAACAAACCTGACTCCACCAATGACAAAAAAAAAACAGTAAAATAATTGAGGAGACAAAAGACTGGAATTCTCTCGTTAGGCTCTCCAAATTTTTAAACTGTTTTCACTTAGACATCCACCTTTGTAGCAACTGTTCGTCAAAAGGTTATTACATAATCTCTGGTGATCAAATTAGTATCCCCATTGAAACTGAGGTACTTTCTGGGCTTCTGCTTTCCAGATATATGGATGTATGTATCCTGAAGCTTGTTGGTCTTGAGCAATCCTGAGAATTTAAAAGCAGGGACTATACTGCCCAGTGGTACAGAAAAGCTGTGGCACTCACACCAATTATATTTACAGAAGAGATCAGACCTCATCACTTAAGAGCATAAAGAAAAGGCTCCATGGAGAAAAATGGAAAGGGGACTGGGTATTGACATGAGCCTAAACTGAAGGTCATGCCACCATTCAATAAATTCAGGACACATTGCTCCAAAGGGATCCTGCCATGCTTGTAAAAATGTGTCTAATCTGGAATTGACTCTGGATCCTCTGGCAAAACTACAGCTTTGCTGTACCTACAGAAAATGCCAATTCAACCAAGACAGTCTAGGTCTCTGGTAACCTCTGAAGTTTGTTTTTACTGACTGATCAGATAAAGAATCATGCTTGATGTGGAAATATTGGCCTCACTGATATCAGAAAGACTGATCCAACCTCAGTGACCTAGCAGTTAATCTGATCACAGAATTTGATCATAGCAGTTAATCTGATCACAGATCATAACCAAGAATACCTCCAACAGAAGAAAGTCATAGATAAGGACCTACTCACCAAGTCTAATAGGTATTTAGAGACCCTCTGCCTTTCCCAACAGGAACACAGCTTGGGAAACCGCATCATGTGTTGCGCAACCAAGCTGGCAAATGTGCCCCAGAGATTGTAGTACCAGAAGGATAACCACTAGAATCCATGCCTTTATCCTCTGGAGCCTTCCTCAAATTCATGTCCCTGTTGGGTTTGAGGAGAGGCAAAGACAGGTCCCCCAACACCCTTTAGATCTGAAATATGGAGAAGTTTGGGAGAATTCCCTGTGTAGAACCTGAAAGAATAGGCCTGAAGACACAGCTGTTTGTGAAGGCACCTAGTATATGGACAAAGGATCAGAATGCCTTCAACCTAAGGAGGCCCTTTCACCTTCAGACTCCAAGGATCTAACAGAATTTAAGCACCTTGGATCCATGGAAAGCCCATCACTCTCAGACTTTCAGGATCAAGGAAATGATCTGAGTGCCTTAGATCTGAGGAGGTTCGATCAACCCTGGACTCATGGGATCCAACAAATTATACAAATATCTTAGATTGGACTCAGGCACACACTACTCCGATTTATAGGGCTCATAGTGCTTTTAAACCATTCTGTCAGTGCAAAGGGACCATTAAGCTGGCCTAAGTAAGGGTTTTCTCAGGAGGGCTGGCTCTTTGCTATTCTACTTTGAAGCTCCTTGGTGTGGTCATGAAAAAGAAGGCTTGGCCAAAGTGGTACTGCATGCTTCAGCTTCTGGAACAGTTATTGGGGGACTGCTGCATTTATATACTCTTATGCTGCTGTAGGTCGTAGCAGGGGTTGAAGTGGCCCACAGCTCACTGCAGGACTGGAAAACTGTAAAAGCAGCATCAAGCCACCTTTTGTCTCTCACCTCAATCTTTCAGAACGTGGCTAAGCACCAAAATAGGACCCAAAGGATAAGATTGGCTTAGATCCAAGGAGGCCTTATCACTTTTGAATCCATAGTGGTAGGGCATACATGGAACCAATCTTTGAGTCTTTACCAGATCCAGAGAACTAATGCATATTACTGGATGACTGTTTAACCCTAACACTTCCTGCATGTTGTTGAAGAAGATGCATCCAGGGTGCACCCTGAATCCTTAGAGGACCTGGCTGCTCTGCTTACAAGCAAGGGATCCAAACAGCTCTTGTTGGGATAGAGGCAAGAACTTCTTCTGTAAGTAGTCTTAGGCCAGAAGAGCCTCCCCCTACCAAATGACTGGATCCTACTCTGGTGTGTACTCTTCCCCAATGACTAAGCACTTTGAAATGGGGTCCAGTGCCTCACAGCAGGGCATGCAATCTCACACAGGTGATCTGCTGAGACAATGTCAAGGAGGAGAATAAATCAATATTTTATAAAATCTGCCTGTGTGCCATAAATTAACATTTGCAAGTCTCTGAAATATAGAAACTAAGTAACAGTTTTGATCTGTAAGTATGTAAAAACATTACCTGGCAAGGTTTTTTCATTTTAATTGCTATAACATGGTATCTGTAACAGCAGAGCTCACAGGTCCATGACCCTCTTTCACTGATCCACTTTAAGAGGCACAATTGATGTGTGTACCGTACCGACCCATCACATCGGCAAGGATTTAACAATTCACCCTGAAACAAGACAAAAATAAATGTCAGAGGGATTTATTTTGTTTTCTTACACAATATTTCATGTTATCTGTTCTGGAACAATGAGTTTGTTTTAGTCTCTATCCTACACTTTTATATTTTTGGCTAAAATAAAGCTCAAAAGTTAGAGCTCTTTTAAAGATATCATTATCTCCAACTTAAATATTCTACCACATTACAAACAACAGGTAACTCACTGCATGTGTAATTATTATGCCAATGGTCACATTATGATCTCTTTCGAGTAACTTTAGATGGATGGTTAGATGTATTTTCTCTGCAGTAATTCTTAATCATGGATAAGAAAGAAATGTATGACATCATAGTGAACTGCATGCTTACAGTAGCATTTGTACTGTTAAGATTCCTGACCGTCAGCAATTACACCATAAAAATTCTCTACAAAATGAACATTTAAAAAAATAATCTAAATATGTCTTTCCCATCAGAATTACATCCTGTAACAAATACATGGATGACTGTGTGCTTGGCTGAAGCTTTCTTATTTCTGTGATGCTACTTCAAAAATGTAATAGGCTACCTCTCATACTAACAATCGCCCTCACCTATGTTCTAAAATAAAACACAAAGCTAGTAGACTCATATATTAAAGTCTAACTGGACACTACAAATAATAGCATTCTTTTTTTCCATTTCCTTGCTTTTTAAGAGAAAATAAACCAAATCCCCCTATTTATGTCATAATGGCCCAGAGAGGGAGCTGGCCGACTAAGCTGACAGCTATAGAGTAAAATGCTAGTGGAAGTGTCCGGCTCCGATATTGTGATAATGACCAATCATGAAATCTTCCCCTAGGTTTTCTTCATAAAACTATTGGGAATGGTTGGTTAAAATGTAGAAGACAAGAAGCTTGGAGAATGGGATTTTGATCTTGAAGTCTTTGAGGGGAGAGGCTGCATCCCAAGCAAATAGACCAATAATTTCCCTGCCTTTCTAGATTTGCAGCGGAGGCTGGCAAAGCTCTTCACAGAGGCTTGTGGCAACCCCCCGCTCTTGTGCCCATTGTACAGGCCCGCGATTGCATTTGCCCCCAGCTGTCGCTGAGCTGAGCTACGAGCCAACCCAGGGCGGCCTCACGGAACTGAACCTGCTCCACTCGGCCACTTCGGGGCTCGGTTTCCTGCCATTGGCGGCGAAAGTCGGAGCGCGGGGTCCGGCCCAGAGCCCTGTCCAGGGTGCTGACCGCGGCGGGCTGGGACCAGCAGCCTCCAGCAACCTGCCCCGGACCGCGTGCGCCAGAGAGCGGCAGGCGGCTCAGGTGCAGTGTGTGTCTGGCCGGACGGGCTGGGTCTGTCTGTCTGTCCGTCCCTCCCGGGGTGCGGGGGAGGGGGGTCCGTCTGTCCGGCCGGCTCTCACCTGCTCGGCGCCCTGGAAGCAGATCTTGCAGATGGGGCCGGCGCCGCCGGGGTTGCTGTCGCTGCCGCTATCGCTGCCGCACACGGAGCGGGTCTCGGGTTTGTCGCCGCCCACGGCCCCCGCCTCCCCCCGGGCTCTCTCCGAGCCGCCCCTTCTCCCCTCGGAGGGGCCCGGCGGGGTCCCGCCGGAGCCGCTGCTCTGCCCCGCCCCGGGGGGGTCGTCGGCCGCCGGCTTCTCCTGGGGCTGCAGCCGCCGCAGCCCCGCGCTCTCCTCCGCGACCGGCAGCTCCAGGGGGGCGGCGGCGGGGTCTCGCTGCGGCTCCCCGGGGCCGGGGATGCTGCTCGCCCCGCCGCAGCTCATCCCCCCGCCCGCCCGGGACACCCGCTAGCCCGAGCCGGACCCGGGGGCGGGGACCCCGCTCTGCGCCCTCAGAGCAGCCGGGAAGGTGACCGGGGCGGAGGCGGCGGGTCCGGGACTGGGGGAGGGGGCGGGTCCCGCTGTCAGGGCGGCTCGCGCCGGTCCGGCTCCAGACGCAAACAGCCGCCTCGGAACGGAGAGAGCGAGAGACCGTTACACGGCGCGAGCCGGGCGGGGCAGCGAGCGCGAGACAGTCACTGCAACCGCCACGCGGCACAGACACCGAGACGCCTTCCCCCGCCCCCGCCCTCACTGCCGGGGGTTGTCACCCCTGTGCCCCCTCCCCCACCGGGGCACTGTCACCATCGCGTAGCAGGGACACAGTCAACCCCCCACACACCAGGGCAGCCACCTCTGAGGTCCATCTGGCATGATCCTGAGCCCACACAACTGGACCGCTGGCGGGGGGCACTGAGCACCCTACAGATTGCCCAGGACAGCTGCCTCAGCCACGGGACAATCCTGAAAAAACCTGGACAGGTGGCAGCCCTACCCCTCTGCACACACCTACGCACATACACCCCTACCACACAGACCAAGGACACTGTCACCTCCCCCCATTGGAAAAATGTTCATATTCAAACATTCCCTTCCAACACCATCACCTTCCATGCACACAAGTCACCTGCCCCCTTCCACACAGTGATCTTCCCCTATGGCCCCAGTCACCTTCCCACCAACATGTCACTTGTCTTTTGCAACAGTCTGTCACTTCCCCACCTAATACACAAACAGCTGCTCCCCCTTTCCAATATACTCACCTTCCTTCCCTGGACAATCAGCTGTTCTCCTTAAAACTCCTCACACATAAATGCCTGCCCCCTTCAAAAATTATCTCCCCCCCCACAAATCATCCATTGCAACACCATTACCTCTCCCTCATAAATAATCAGCTCCCCTCCAACACTATCCATCTTTCCCAAGCAGACAGAAAAACAGTCCTTCCTCTCCCTCCCACCCCCAGCACTGTCCCACAATAGACAGTCACTTGCCCCCTTCCAACACAGTCATCTTCACCTCATGGACACAGTCAATCACCATTGCACACACCTACACACTCCCTCTCTTGAACACCATCACCCTCCAGCACACCTCCCCTCCATCCCCAGACACTGCAACACCTATGAACTGTCTCTCACACACCTTTTCCACCTTAAACTATGCCACCACAACACACACACCTCCTCTCATGAGATTGTCACACCCCACTGCAGGATTTATCCTTTGTAAATAAAGACTACAGTATTATACAGCTATTGCCACAAAACACTTCACTAACATTTGCATGCTGAAGCATTTTGGGCTGTTACTGGGGATTTAAAAAAAAATAGGAGCGGGACCTGGGTAAGCGATATCTATTCAGATTTATCTGTTAACAAACATGAAGGGTTGGGAATGCTTCTACCCATCGGGTAAAAGTGTCAACAAACAAATGTCCTGGAGCCTTGATATTTACTACTGCCTGCAGTTTCCTTTTCTGCTCTACATATACACTGGAGTGACTGGAAAGTGCCCATCCTCTTCCCCAGGAGACAGAGAGAGAGTTGTGTTAGTCATAAATTCATATTTAAAACTGAAACCAGGTTTCTTGCTAAATCGCATACTCTCTCTCCCTCAGAGAGAGAGAGAGAGTCAGGCAATCACTCAATCAATGAATAGACTTCACATATTTTGCTACCTTCCAGTACTTTGCTGTCTTTTAGAGGCATCTCACCTACCTGAACTACCTACTGTATATGACAGATTTGGCCTTGCTTGATAGCTCTGCTTCAGAGACTAATACCCTCTATCCCCCACACCCTTCCTGGGAAAGAAAATGGGGGGGAAATTGTGTGTCCACGCACTTTCAAAATGAAGAGTACATGTTTCATCTCTTTCCTCCTTCCCCCATTCTCTCTTTGGTTTAAGAGTTACATTGCATGTTCTTCCTCACTCCCCTTTATTAAAAACAAATATACAGTTACATTCTGTACAATACAGCATTACCATAGTATTCCTACAGCAAGCAACAGCAAAATGCTGCTTATGTTTGAGAGAGTGAGTGTGTATCAATGTATAAGGGAAGAGGTACATTTTGAAAAAGAGTATGGGACAAGCAAGATTTTCTAGATAAGTGTTGCTGGTGCTCCTTGGAGCATGGGGGTGGCATAGTTGGCAAGAGGATGCCCATCCTCTTAGACCAGTGGTTCATTTCTTTTATCAGAGTGGCCTGCAGGGATTGTGTTTGTAAAATAGTAGTCCATGTGTTCTTTTCCTGATGTCCATTTTCCAAAAATGCATGCTGTTACAAGTTTATAAAATATTCTTGAAAATATTTTTATCTTCTAACAAGCATAAAAAATACCTGTACAAATACCCATTCTAGTTAAAATACATATTTTCAGAAAGTATTTTATAATAAAAAATCTTTAAATCCCATATATTTACAACTTCATAAACTTTTACCGGGTCTCATAAAGTATCTGAGAAATTCTATATGTAAAAACAATGGATTTTTCATCTCATAATAAAGGAAGCAAAAGGACTTGACAAGGAAGGGAAAAGGAAATCAAAGGGCAACTATCTAGCCAGACAGGTACTCTCACTTCTCAGCATTTAATAAGACATAAATGACAGAAGATGAGAAAACCTAAATTTTGCTCTCAGGGACTCTGATAGGGTTTACAAAATCTGAAGGTACTGCTGTGAGCCTAATTAGCCCTGCCCACACCATCTGTAGTGGATGTTAGACAGGAAGGGTAGGACTCAAAAGAAGAGAATGCAGTCAGTAGCAGGCTGGTTAGCAAGCAGTGAAGAGGAACAGCTTCCCTTGGGGAGAAAAGGTGGGTAGGAGTCCAATGTTGAGTAGGATTGCTGCCTGTTCAAGCCTCTCTAAAGGGACAGTAGACCTTGGTAGGGGACTATTTGGATGTACACAAGCTTTGCTGGTGGTCTTAAGCCAAGCTATGGCAAATAGTGTCCTGACAGGAAGGGGATGGAAAGCTAAACCAAGAGGGTGAATGGATGAATGACCTCAGAAAGGTTGATAATTAAGACCAGCTGAGGCAAAGGCTCCTCTACTTAGAGTATGTGGGGAGTGGTTTTCTTTCCTTGGTGGTTGTTGTTGTTTTTGCCTGTTAGTTTGGGCTGGGATTGAATTTTTGTGGTGACCTTATGGATGGCTGAGCCACATAAATCACCAGAGCAGGTAGGAAATACTTGTTGGGTAAACTGAGGCAGAGGGCCTGCAGCACTATGCTTTGCCACAAGGAGAGGCAATGGGGTGGCAACCTGTGGACAGAGCTATCTCAGCTACATAGAAAGAGTAGGGAGATGCATCACTACTGGTGGTCCTCAAGTACAAAGAAAATATTTCTCTAGTATTAACATCTTAATCTAATTCAAAGCATTCAAGGCATTTTCTAAAAAAGAAACCCAGCATGTGGCTGTTAGTCACTATGATTTCAAAGGGAGCTAACCTCCTAGACATTTTTGAAAATCCCACTAGGCACCTCTCTACACCTTTAAAAATCTGGTTCTGTGGGCCAAATCATGTAGTCTTTACTTAGGTTTAATTCAATCATTACTCATGCAAAAAATAACTCATCTCGGGGCTTAGTTTGTTGACTTAAATAGGATTTTTTGAGTAAAATATGAATTAAGACTTCAGAATTTGTGTACTGAGCAGAAGTGTCCTCTACAACTGATGCCTCCTTTATCTGGAAAATGATTAAATGGTTCATATAAAAAGATACAGAAAGACGGAAAATCTGACAATACAAAAGTGGGGAAGCTGAGAGCATTAGTCTGTGTGTATGTGTGTGGGAGGGGGGAAATAATACACGCAAGGACAAAAAAAATCAATGTATTTTAAAAGGCTGAGGGAGAAAGAGATCAAAATCAAAGAGTGAGCAAAACACAGAGAAGACAGAAAAACAGGCCAAAGAGCAAAAAATAACCAAGGCAATGGATAACTACTTTCTGGCTACCTAAAATTTCTCCTGTAACTTAAATTTGCAAACTTCTGTTTACTTGTCCTACAGAAAATTGTCATGTTGAGTTATTGACACAGAATAGCATTCATACTTAGCCCCAGGAGGGGCTGCATTTCAGTACTGATGACTGATCCATGTATATGCAGCAATCTGTATCATACACTGGGATCATTCAAGATGGTGTTATAAAACAAGTTATTGTTATTGGAGGCTGAACAAAAGAGACCGAATAGAAATGAAGGTATAATCTGACACATGCTCAAGAAAGAAGAAACTACAGTACAAATGAAAGAATAAGAACTATCAAAACAAAAAAAAGAGTAAAATATTGAAGGAGAGAGAAAATAAGCTAAAAACAATTAGAAACAAGTGGTGAAACAAGAGGGTGAAAAGGGAAAATAAATACTGCAAGGCTATTGTAGTCAATATAATGGAACAATAATGTATCAGTATCCCTTTGTATAAAGTTCTGATTTTCTTTCTCTTTTGTACCCAAAAAACATTCAGTAGAGAACTCAATTTTTAGAAAGAACTAGCTTGAAAGATAAAAACGTGAAAGTAGAAATCGGACAATTGTTTTCCTAATATCAGAAGAGGAAGAAATAAATATGACTGAGGTATATAGAATAATGTGTGAAGAAGGCTAATTGGGTGTTCCTGTTTTACCTTTCCCATAATGCAAGTGCAAAAAGGGTACTCTTCAATCAAAGGTAGAAAATCTGAAATGGATAAAAGGAATTGTGTGTTTAGTTGGTGTGTGTGTATAACGTAGAATTCATTGCTACAGGATAGCTTTAGACAAATAGTTTAGTAAGATTTTTAAAGAAGTACTTATTTATCTGTCTAGGATAAACTTGCAGTTATACAAATTAAAATAAACCTGCAAACACTATCGATCTTCATGCTTCAGAGTTTATCTGTGTTTTTCAGCATGCTGGGTGATGGGAGGAGAAGCCAAGGAAAAGAGCA